AACGTTAAACCCACCTCCTCCCCCCCCCCCCCCTAAAATGTTCCAGAGTCCGCAGCCAACAAAACTGTATATTCACCTCCTGGTAAGCGGCGGGTGTATGGTAGTGGGTGTTTACGGCTAGTGTTCTTGCTGAAATACTGGGGGGTAGTATTAGGGGAAGAGGGGGGAGGCCTGTTGTGGTGTGAAGTTTCTCAAGGCCATGCTAAAGCTTTGCTAGCTACAGTCCGATAGGCGGGCGAGAGTTAAGGCTGCCCGCGGCCCCCGTCTAAGGTGACTGACCATGAGCCTCTGTCTGTATGCTCATGATCAGTCACCTAAGTGGTTGCTGTCTTCAGCTTAGTCAGAATGACACTGAAGTTTTAGTCTAGTAAGTGAGCTTAAAGACACTGAGTGAGGGAGGGAGGGGGTGTTGTAGATTAAACATCCCCAGCGAGGGGTCGTTTCTGCGTTCGAGAAAAATGTTTCTAGTTGGTGACTTTTCAAGGTTTTTCCCTGCCTTAGGTGCGCTATGTACCTACTTCTGCATAGCAGCGGTTTTTTGGTGAACACCAGAGAAGAACTCCGGAAGGTTGGGAGAATCCAGCAAGATGGTGGGGAAAATGGAGGAGGTCTTATCAAGAGAGGAACCCCCGAAGGGGTCGACACTAGGCCACAATGGCTCAAGCCGCCTGGCTCAATGGCTAAGGCCTAGTCCGCAGTGATCCAATAGGGAAAAGCTATTGCAACCTTCGGGATGCGAACAGAGGCGTCCGTCATGATACTGAAATGGTGTAGAACTTTGAGAGAGTGCTGTCCTTCGCGCAGTTACGCCCGCGACACCGCCCAGCGGTCAGGGCTGTCCAGTAGGGGAAAAATCGCTTACCACTATCATAATAATATCCATTTGTATTGTAGTTATTGTTCCCATTACTGGGATAGTAGTAGTATGTTGTTCCAGCATTATTGTTGTTGGAGGGATAGTAGTAATAGTATGTCTGAAACAGATACTTTCAGGGCGATGTTCCTATTCAACTGACTTTTAGCCTCAAACTTACGTAATATCCTTGTGCTACTGCTACCAATAAAGAGATCAGGAGTAATGAGAGGCTGAAATACAACTGTCATTGAAGGAAGATCAAGACCCGAGGGAAAACTTACTTGATGGAGTTCATTATGGAATGTCTAAGCTCGCCAGTGTTAGTTCTGAGGAGTGCAGTGGTTTTTATACCGAGGTCGAGCTCACTATGGCACAAAGTAGAGAACTAGGCGGCCAAACATAAAACGAGAGGAAAAGCTTCTCGTTTTGTGGACTCAAAGAGGTTCAGTCCTACTGAGAGATAGCGCGTTTCAGGGAGGGTTTTTGCCGACAAAAGTTTCTCATACGAGATGCTCAACGCGAGTTCTATTTGACAAGGGCACTTATCTGTACGATGACTCAGTAGTATAACTTCGATGGGAAGATCTCTGTCAAGTCTACGGACCTTGGTCATTGATCCTGATTTATGCTGATCATTTCGATAAATAGAAAAAAGTAAATATCTTTGTAGTGAATACAAATATCTTATAATCATGGTTGGCTTTCGAATTTCCACTTGAAACTAGGATCAGAATCGTCCTACAGTGCCAACTACGTGATGAGGGAGAGGGGGGACAACTCTCAAACTCTCATCAGATTTTGCTGAATCTAGTCAATTCCTGTGGAGGGACGGAAGACGACTTCTATCCTCATGAGTCCACAGGAGACGAAAAATTCATAATTCATCCTCCTGTCCAATCTTAGGCAGAATTCCTCGATTGTTTTCTCGTAGTCCTTTCTTCACACCTTTTTCGTACACTCCCTTTTATCTCCCTCTTTTTTATCATAACGGCAGATGGAAGGAATGACGTGAAAGTGGTAACCGATTCCTCAGTTTCATAAGAGCTTGCTTATCTGGACTTTGAAAAATCGCCCGGGATAGGAACAGGCTTCTTACCCGCTCCCTTGTTGGATTTACCGCCAAAGTTCCTCCTTGTTGTCACTTACTGTACTACCCACCTCAAAGAACTTTTGTTTTTTCTCGCTTTCTTTCAGCATCCTTCTTCTGCTTAACGATCCCCTGGACTTCCTCGTCCCAGAACCACGCTGCCTTGTCTCCTCTGGTCCCAACTCGCGTCTCTCCCAGATCCTCCCCCAGAAAAAAGATCCTGTATGCCTCATCCTGTTCCGGCTCCAATTGTTTGCACTGACGAGAAGGATTAGATACACAACGACCTGCGGCCGCGTTATGTTTCCACGGCAAAGCAGAGGAGCAGATGTGTTGGCTGGGTGGAAACGCGGGGCTCTTTCTGGGGTGATAATTTTTTGGGTGTGGGGCTCCTGAGAAACGGAAGGCAGCATGTTGAAGCAATGCCTCTACTAGTGCTTCTTCTACCTACACGCAATCTGAATCTTCCCCCGTTCTTGAAATATTTCGGATGGGTATATCGGGAGCGGGTTTCTGTGCTTCAGACGAGAATAACTCCTTTAGAACGCAATATTTTACAAAATTAAAAGCCCTGAACACCCAATATTTCCTCTTTCGAACAAGCTCTACAGCTTTTCTGAAGACTGGCTAGGAAGACATTTTAGATGGGTCACACGTGGGTGACATTCTGAAGCACTCAAAAGCTCGACGCATTCTGTACCATTGTATACTCAAGATCCCTGAGATCGAGTAGGCGGGGCTGCATTCTTCAACTTAACCTGAAGGTGTCTATGCTTCTGGTGGTATTTCCATCTTGACACAACTGTTGTCGTGTCTCTGTCCAACACAGAACAAGATGACAGTTGTCCCAGACTGGAATATTCCACGAGTAACCAGTTCCGTGCCATGTTCAAATGCCACGCCTACTCTGGCTCAGGGATAAGGAGTGTAAGTATGAACATTGGTGAATTTCGCTGCCTCCAAACACATCCTGTTGGACTGAGTCAAAGCATAATTTGTTATCATCGATCGATTTGGTCCGAGTGTGCGCCGTGCATTACGCTTCTACGCAGAGGTGGTGGAAAGGTGTAACTTCTGATTTTAGGTGATTTTTGTCCATGCAAGCAGATGTTTGTTTGGGGTTTGGAAAGGTAGATACGCACAAATCTGTTTGAGATGTATTATTTAGTCATCTACGTACTTACGAGTTCATGCTAACTATTGATATTGCTAGTAAATTGTTTTAATAGTTTAAAGTCTCTCTTACATCCTTCATGGCTTTCCGTCCTTTCCATCCTCACCGATGGTACTTATGTGCTGCTTGGGGCTCACCGACCCTGTTTTACAACCCCCTCCTCCTCCTCCCCGGCGAGCAAGGACCACTCCGATAGGTTTCGCGAAGCTGCTCTACCCTGAATGTTGGCACATTGGTTAGAATAGCGGGTAATGTAGTAGTTTGTGGCACTTGTAGCGAGACCACAGGCGCTACTACATAAGCAGAGAAGGAATCCTGGTCCGCAGCTGCAGCGACGTGCCATTTTGCCGGCCAAGCTGTTCCGAATGATTCTGAACTTTGAGATCTCATAGTAGCATTTTTCACGGCTGCTACCATAAGAGGAGAATTGGATGGGTAGATTCAACCGTGTGTACATATCAAGGCGCTTGGAACTGATGCAATGTCCCCGTTGGACTGTTGAAAAGCAAACAGTTATGGTGATATTACTTTTTCACAGTGACGCAACCCCCCTCACTGATTAATCAATTTTCGGGATGTGGCATGCGTTCCACTTCCTCCATTCAGAATCGCACGCTTAGGAATATGACGTTGCCTATTCAACGAGAGTAGGAGACAGTGTTTTGACAGGTCAGCCCTGCCGCTAACGGACCTGGATATCGACCAATGACCTCTTCTCTGACTTTTCCGAGAACAATTCGCTTTTTCCCCAGAAACTAGCGTCGAGCGGGAGGGGGGGCATGCGACGCACTTGAAACAAGAAAAAGCGAGAAAGATCATAAAAAGAAACCTCTCTTGAGGGCATAGTCTTCTCATATAAACCCCCCCCCCTCTAGCGATCATCTACGAGCCCCTCCGCTGGGGATCTCCAAAGTAGGACGTGTCCTGGTTATACCACCTACCGCTACACCATATAACGACATACCGGGCGATTTTGCAGGGTCCTAAACAATCCTGTATCTCCGAGAAATAGGGCTGGTTCCACTTCCCCTGTCCAACCAACAAGTTGATTTTATTTGAACGCATCCTGCTACGTCAAAGGATCCACAGTTGTCCAGAAATAAATTATTACATAGGGCATTCATGTCATTCTCGGTCAAATGTTGAACATGGGAACCTCTTGTGGCGGAAGTGACGTTTCGAAGCTACAAGTTTTGGAAATGAGCAAAACAATCTAGAAAAGATGACGAAGTGTGAGAAGAAGTGAGTGACTTCGAGCTAGGTGCTTTATCTTACTAAATGGGAAACCATTACGCAGAAAGAGGATCAATCCATTAGAGAGCTCCCTATATTCAAAGGCGCCCGGAGCTTCCACTCTCCTTGTCCACAGGGTCTCCCTCCCTCCTGAATGCAGTCCAAAATAGAAACTATAGCTGGCGCAGAAATGAGCTAGGCAAATTCTGATACCTAGTTTGAAAGTAACGGTTCGCAGGAATTGCCAGAATCGCCCAGAATGTTGACAGGAGTTTTAAAGACACATGGTACGCTCATACACATTGAGGGTGTATGAGACTATCAGCCCCCCAGAAGTCGATGTGTCGTGGTCCCTGTTGAGGCGACGGGTTCAACCGCCGATCAATAACCGCCTCTAGTTCAGGGCATCTATGTGAGCGGGTATTTTGAAGGAGCTGTAGAGGCGATCGGCTTAAGGCCTGATCAATAATCGCCGTCCACTCCTAGCCAGTGAGCCGGCGTTTGAATATCCCTCTTTGGCGGGATCTCGGGGTATAAATACCCTCGGCAGGAGCTCTAGTCAGTTTAGTTTCGATTCCACGGACGCGACCGACAGCTCAACGCCAACGCCGACGCCAGCACCTCGCCGACTCCAACCGACACCGGATCAGCGGAGCAGTCCGCTACATGGGGGCCAAGCCGACTTGGACGACGGACTAGGAGCTGGCAGTACTTCAAGGATTTGTGCGTTCGAATCCGATCAGTCGATCGTGATATTCGACGCTTCTGAACTCCGGTTGGATTCAACCGTGACATTCGAGAACTTTTCTTTCTTAGCCGTTACGGCTGATTGATAAGAAAAGAAAGAGTGACTGAAATCATCGAACTCCGGTTGAATCAAACCGTGCATTTCGGTGTTGTTGGCTGAGTCAGTATCCACTCACTAAAGTATTATCAGTCTTCTCTAAGAATCGTGTTGCCGTTGGTTGAACGTTCGTGCGTATTCGTGTTTATCGACTGACGCGCTTTCGTAACTACCATTGGCACATACAATATATACTATTTAGGTAAAGAGCGGCATCGAACTTTCTGGTGCTGTAACGAACTCCGATTTCGATCAATCGTGATTTCGAAATACCTTTGAAGAAGTGCGCGATCAATAGCGCCAGAAGGTAAACTTCTTATATTGGTGCAACATCTTCGCAGTAAGAGCATCATTGCATTCAGGTCGAGAGTAGCGTAGTCGAATTCCGATCCCAATCGATCGTGACTTTCGGACCACGAACATCTAAGCAGTCAAAAGCCGCCAATACAGGTATACAGGCCTTTCAATTGCATTACCTCTCAGTGAGTGTGCAAAGATAAAAATAGAATTCTGTAGAAGTATACACTGCTTCCAGACTATCATGTCACAACTAATGGAGGAAGAACTACTCCGATCGCCGATCAGAGAAGATGATATGATTGACGAACACGTAGTAACACGTTTTTGAAAGAATTTGATCGGTTGTCAAACAAACTCCTGGGTCAGGTGGCGAGTATAGCTATTACGTGTGACAGCGAGCTAGCAAAGTCGATGCGCACCGATGATCCCAGGAGGGAAACTGTCGTTGCTTCTGTTAGGGAGCAAGTTTCACTGGTGAAAGAAATTATTAAAGCAACACTTTTAGAAGTCAGTGAGCTGTGTAGGCCAGTAGTAGCCGAGCGAGTGTTCAAGTTATTACGTGTTGCACAGATAGGCAGCGTAAGCGATCTACAAGAGCACCTGCGTAAGGATGCAGTTATAAGTGAGCTCTTAGTAGAGATCGGTGAAATCTTGCAGTGTAACGAAAGTGAGATAGGTGCGAAATTGAGGGAATTAACCACAGCATTGAAAACAGAACAACGAAACTCTGAGATTTTTCGACTGCAGTTAAGTCAAAAAGAATTGCAGATCGAACAGTTGCGTCACGAAGTTGAGTGCATGGGCCAAAAGCCTTCAGAAGATCAGAGCAGTGGAACCAGACCACTCCAGGGTGAGTCAGAGGTACCTGTACGAAGTGATCATTCTGGAAATTCCGACCAGTTCAATCCGTTATTTCAGATGCAATCCTCAAAGATCTCGACGCCATCGAACCAGAAGTCTTGCGGGACTACGCTGAAAAGCGGCTCAGGGAACAGTCACGAAACTCAACAATCGTCGGACACAGGTGAGGTTGACGAGTTTTCACTAAGTGACTATATTCGAACCATGTCGCTACCCGATGTACAGCCTTTTTCTGGTAAACCTGGCGAGTGTTTCAAGAGATTTTTGAACTCATTCGACATGAAGTACCCAAAAGGGCAGTGGAAAGAGTTGAACCGTTTGCAACTTTTCCAAAGTTTCCTGAGGAAAAACGCGTTAACAGTCTTTGAAACGTTGCCGAGCGAGATACGATCGAGCACTCTCGATCGCGTGATTGACGCAATGAAAGAAAGGCTGCGCATAGACGGAAATAGCCAGCGGGTTAAGGCCCTAGCAGGGTTGCGTACATTGGCTATAAGGCCTGGACAAGCAGTAAATGAATTTTGTTTCGTTTTGGAAAGCTTAGCTAATAAGGCCTACCCGGATGTGCCCGCAGAGGCAACTTCATTGCAAAAAGCCGAAATTTTGTGCAGACAGCTGGCTAACTGGAATGGGAGTTACTGCCTAACTGAGGCACTAGAGACTAGCTCTTGCGAACAAGCTTATGAAAAAGTGAAAGAGGCAGCACTACGTTTGGAAAGAAGTTTGAAAACAGCTGAGGAGTGTCGAATAGCAACTAGGGCACGGTCTACTCACAATTTCAACCAGAAGCATGCCGTCGGGGATAAGCAACCTGGACCGTTTGTCGGGAAGGGTACGGAAGAAATTGCGAAAATAGGCACAGATAAGCCACGCAAACTTCCATTGAGCAACAAACCAGAAACTACCCCGCCGTACCAGCAGAGAAGAAGAGACCATGGCCCACCAAGGTGCTATAAGTGTGGCAAAAGGGGACACATGGCTAAGGACTGCAGCGTTTCATCATCCAGGCAACAACATAGCTCTGTTCTAAGAGAGGATCCTAACCAAACGTCTAGTGTGGCATATGCCTCTTTGATAGATAAATGGATGTGTACAATATGGGAAGAGTCGGCATCGAGTGTGAGCGAATGGTTTGGCCAAAAACCGCTGGTCGATATAATAATTTGCGGAATAAAAGCAACCGCTCTCCTAGATACGGGTTCGCAAACAACGATCATACCAGTTAAGTTGCTGAAGAGAGCTGTAGAATATGAAAGTAACTTGGATGAGTATATCGAACATGTGCCAGGACCCAAGGTGAATGTGCGGGATGCTTCAGGGAATGTGATGGAAGTCTTTGATACCATCCGCGTAGCAATAACACTAGGAAGCCAGCTAGAATTTGTGTCAGTCTATGTAGGGGAAGGTTCAGACGAAGTGGTGATCCTAGGAACGAATGCCCTTCATATGTTCAAACTCAAGTTGGTAAGACACACTTCCACAAAGAGCGAATCTCTATATGATAGCGGTCGAACAACTGCTAACATAAGCACTGACAGCTCGAGCTAAACACAGGGTCTTTGTCTCGCCACGAGCCACGTGCCCTTAACGCTAACCTATGAGAGTGCTAGAGCTGCAGATGTGTCACTTCTTCGCTCCTAGCACCCCGCAATACCAGATGGGTTATGCTATAAAGCTTCTGGAGGTGGAAATGAGCATACCTGTAATCAACAATTCAGATCAAGGTATGGTGTTCAAAAAAGGAGAAGTGATAGGAGAATGGGAACAAAATGAGTGGATCAGGCCAAAACACATCGAACCGGACAGGAACATGCTAGATTCTAACAGACTGTGCGAGTTTGCTTCTATCAGTGATGGGATCGAAGCACTAGCTGAGATAATCCAACAACGAAACGTCCTGCTCTGTGCTGCTTTAGCTCTGCTTAAGGAATTTAATGATGTGTTTGCGGTGACAGATGCCGAGCTAACACAAACCGATCTGGTGGTTCATGATATTGATACTGGAGACCATAAGCCCATACGACAGAAAACTAGGCCTGTTCCCATCGCAGCTCGCAAAGAATTCAAAGGAATCGTCAATGATCTCGTAGATCGAGGCATAGTCGAGAGAAGTTCCTCTGAATGGGCTTCTCCAGTTGTACTCGTGAAGAAGAAAGATGGAACGCTTCGAGTCTGTGTTGATTATCGAGAATTGAACAAGGTGATTCGTCAGGACTCTTATCCCTTGCCGAAGATTGACACAGTCTTACAGTGCCTTGCTGGAAAGAAGGTCTTCTCCACTATGGATCTCGCATCGGGATATTGGCAAATACGCCTTTCCGACGATGCGAAGAAGAAGAAGCGCCTTCACAACAAGTGAAGGGTTGTTCCAATTCACAGTATACCCTTCGGCCTCTCAACAAGTCCTGCGGTATTTCAAAGGATGATGGACATGGTGCTACGAGAGCTGCGATTAGAGGACGAGGTTTTCGTTTCTATTGATGAATATCTTAGTAGCCACAGAGTCGGTAGATCGGCACTACGTCGTCTTGAAGAAGGCGCTAGAGGTCCTGCGGAAAGCAAATTTGCGCCTTAAACCGCAGAAATGTGAGTTTTTCTGAGACCACGTGACATTCCTTGGGCATCGCATCGACAAAGACGGAGTGAAAACGGATCCGGATAAGTTAAGGAAGATTCTAGATTACCCACTACCTTCCAATGTGGCAGAGTTAGGACATTTCTGGGAATGGCTTCCTATTACAGGAAGTTCATAGCAGGATTTTCCAAAATGACCAAGGATTTGTACAGGCTGCTGAGTCCAAAAACTCCGTGGAATTGGACTGCCGAACTGAGTCAGCGCTTCGAGCAACTTAAGCAAGTGGTGACAACTACACCTGTCCTTGCTCAACCGAATGTTGCTGCAGCAGAAAGCGGTAGTAGACCTTTTATAATCTATACTGACGCATCAGGTGAGGGACTTGGCGCAGTGCTCTGTCAAGAAGGTGAAGACCATTTTCCTACACCTGATAATGTTTGCATCGAAGGGCTTGACGGTTGAAAAAGACTATCACATCACGGACCTTGAAGTCCTAGCTGTAATTTTTGCGCTGAAGAAGTTCCATCTTATCGTCTATGGCTTGCGGACAATAGTGCGCACCGATCATCAGCCCTTGACATGCTCGTTCAAAAGAACGAATGTCTCAGCGCGCGTCCTCAGATGGGCCTTGGAACTTCAAAAGTATAACTTACAGATTGAGTATGTTTCTGGCAAGGCTAATGTCGTTGCTGATGCGCTATCACGGAGTGCAGCACAGATCACAGATGAAGAGCCCACTGTCCCAGAAAATGATTTGGTAATATGTGCTGTGGGAGAGCACGAAAGCGAGTGGCTTCAAGAACTGAAGGAGGATCCGGATTACGCACAGCTCATCAGTAACGTGATGCAAAAGCAAGATCACAAAGACGTGAATCTTCCAAAACATCCCGGAAATTCAGAGTCGCGGACTTTTATATCGATAATGGTGATCTGAAGTTGATGTGCGAAAACGCATCGGTACGCGTCGTTCCCAAATCGAGGAGGAAACCATTATTCGAAGAGGCACACCAAGGAATGATGGCAGGGACACCTCAATGGTCGTAAACTTGTACCGTCAGCTGAAGAAGATAGTGTTCTGGGAAGGGATGGAAGCAGATATAGCAAAGTGGTCCAAAGAGTGCTCGCGCTGTTTTCTGGCTAAAGGCCATGAAATGCACACCCCTCCGTTGAAACCATTTACCACAAGCGCTCCATTTGAGCTAATAGGAGTAGACCTGGTGGAATATGGGTTGACCGAGAGAGGTAATAAATATGCGCTCGTAGTCATAGACCACTTCACAAAGTTCGTGGGTGCCTACCCCATTCCAGACAAGTCCGCTAAAACGGTATCTTCCACATTGTTCGAGAGATGGATTTGCGACGGATGCAGGTGGCCCAAACGTATACATTCAGATCAGGGTCCCGAGTTCATTAATTCCATCTTGTCTAACATTTGTGACCTCACAGGTATAAAGCAATCGGTGACAAAAGGGTATAACCCCCGCGAGAACGGTATGACAGAACGAGCAATTGAAACTTTGACGCGAATGCTGCGGAAAGAAAACCGTGGTTCCAGCTGATTGGGATCTACTTTTACCTATGGTAGTTTTCGCGTATAATTCGTCTCCCGCATGACGCTATAGGTGAAAGTCCGTTCTATTTGCTGCACGCGTTTGATCCCAATTATCCGTCAAACGTGATCCCTTGCGACCAGCTTTCATTCAATCATATTGATGCCAACGATTACAAACACGAGCTGCTGGCAGGTATCCAGCTAGCACAAGAATGTGCTAAAGGAGCTCAACGAAAAATATAAAGTACGCATGAAAGAAGCATATGATAACAGGAACAAAGTTGACGTGCAGAAACTACCTAAAGTTGGCGACAAGGGTTTTTCAAACTAGGGAGGAAACTAGTAAAAGATAGCCAAAGCTAGTTGACCCTTGGGGAGGCCTTTACGGAGTGATCAAGATGAGCGAAAATTCAGCGCTAATATCTAATCCTATGGGAAAGAAAAGCCTCTTCAAGTTCCATTTGACGCGCTTATCGTTTTTCCAGCCGAACTTGAAAGCCCGATAAGAGAAACTAAAACAAAAAGAACTAAACGGCGTCATGCAAAGGTTAACAAAATTGTTTTCAGAGCTACGGCGAGCGGTGACGACACTGGTCCTCTTGGGCTTTTCTTTCGATGCCCAGGCAAGTATGCCCAAGATGCGAGTGGATTCGCGTACGCTTGCACGGTGCAGCAGAAGACCTTCAAAGACGTGGTACCATCAGCATCAGAAGCTATCGGAAACATTCGTTTTGACTCGATCTTTTCTCTTGCTCGTCTAATCTCGATTTATGATTATGAACGAAGTGAACAAAACAAACGATTCCTCATGCTAGAGCCGAAACATGTTTTCATTACCATAAATGGCGCCCAAAAAGCTTATCTCTTTTATAAAAAGTCTTGTGACCATGTTTTCCGGACCCTGATGCTTCACGATGGTTCTTCTCTGTGCCTCCCGCATGATGGTGGTTCTGGTTTGCCGATGGAGCAGCTCAACGAAGCGACGAACGAAGGCGTGAGATACGCCAAATCACACGACTGGGACGAGGTGTGCAGAGTGAAACCACGAAGATCCTCCTGATGTTACCCGACAGCTTCCGTCTCGTCAACAGCGTCTTCAGAGATCACCCGGACGTGGAACGTCGTCTCTATAGGAACCTCAGTGAGATCGGCGGATCGTTGGAAAGTTCGACTGCACGACTTTGTGTATTGGTTGGCCCTACGACGGAGTCACCAATTCCCAAGCGCGATTGGTGCAAGCTTGCTTCCTCTCTGGCCACGGCAGCCCGGATGGGAATGAAGGTTGTAGCAGTCGCCCCACCATTCGTCGGAGGACAAGGCTACGCTCAGAATCGAGGGGATCATTGAATGATCCATCAAGCTTCAGCCGAAGTCGGCGGCCGCTTGGCGAAGCAGTGTCTTTGCAGCCTCATCCCCACGATTGAGTCACCGAACGAACCGTCGCATGGACCTGGAGCTCACCCAAGGAGCTCTTGTGCAGAAGCATTCTCACGGGAGGTCTTGAGGGAGTACTTCGACGTTCTCCGCGTCTACGTGAAGTCGGAGATGGATATTCCGCCACTGGAAGCAGCGGGAAAAACTCGGACGTCCCGCACGCGAGAGTACTTCAAGCAAAAGAAGGAAGCCGCGAAGCTCACAAACGCAGGAGTTTCAAAGAGAAACTCAAAACACAAGTTTTCGTCATTTAGGAGAACCAGGCCCACGAGCTCGGCAACGCTACCAGCAGTCTCTGTTCTACAGTGTCCACCAATGGAACTGATGTGGTGCCTTCGAACGTCCAGCGTCATGTTCACCTACTGGCACAATCGTACGTCGAGGACGTGGCCTCCATCGCCACCACTAGGCGCGCTCTACCCCCCCCCTACATTATCCGGAATCTCAGAAGACATATGATATCTCATGTATCTCATAGTATTATTTGGTATCTCGCATCTCATAGTATTATTTGTTTTGTATGTAGTGTTTTTTTATATGTACGACCTTCTTTTACCGCAGGTCATTATTACGCTCATGGATTTGTAGTTTTGTAATCTGTTCTCAATTGGTTACAGTGTCACTTTGTTGGTTGATGTTAAACTATGAATTGTTACGAGGAGTTATGTGTCGGGCATACCCGTTCCGTGAGTCGTCACATATCAGAGCATGTACCATTTATCAGGTGGTTCGGTCATGTGAGCACCTTTCAAGCGGCAGGGACGCCGCTTCCCCTAGGAGGAGGCATTTTGTTGAGGCGACGGGTTCAACCGCCGATCAATAACCGCCTCTAGTTCAGGGCATCTATGTGAGCGGGTATTTTGAAGGAGCTGTAGAGGCGATCGGCTTAAGGCCTGATCAATAATCGCCGTCCACTCCTAGCCAGTGAGCCGGCGTTTGAATATCCCTCTTTGGCGGGATCTCGGGGTATAAATACCCTCGGCAGGAGCTCTAGTCAGTTTAGTTTCGATTCCACGGACGCCGACCGACAGCTCAACGCCAACGCCGACGCCAGCACCTCGCCGACTCCAACCGACACCGGATCAGCGGAGCAGTCCGCTACAGGGTACAACAACTCCTTTGAACCTATCTTTGAGCACAGGGGACAGCATTAGCTGGGTATTTCGATCGAACCCGTAC